AAGAAGAGTCTCTGCGTGAGGTGCGGCTGTCGAAAAGCAGGAAGAAAATGCTCGCTGGCATGCGTGTGCAGGGCTACCTGTGAACTAATTCGAGCGTCGGGACCTGAGGCTCGGATCGCTCCTGCTACCTCCAGCGTTCCGACTGCGTCCGCTGTTCCTGCTACACCTTCCATTAATGCTACACCATCCGTTCCTGCAATATCTGCCATCGTAGCCCTTCGCTATCTTTTGGCGTATAGGGTCGCTACGCAGCAGGCAGCCGCTATTCAGCAGGCAGCCGCTAGTCAGTAGCCAGAAGCTAGTGAGCAGCCAGCCGCTAGTGAGCAGGCACTTGCTAGTCAACAACCAGCCGCTAGTCAGCAGGCCGCCGCGCCGGATGATTCGACAGGGACCGAAGCGAAGGAGGAGGAGAAGGAAAACGAAGCGCGAGATGGAATCCCAGAGTGGTAGTCCGATGCGTCCGACTACGGCGATGCCTTCAGCGACTGGGGATCAGACGTATCAGAGGGCGAGCCGGATGTAGGGTGGGGAGATGCGGGGGGAGTCGAAGGTCCATGGAGGGTGACGGGAGCTGACTGGTTCTGAGGGGTGAAGAACCGTATTGAGGTGTGTAGCTGATTCCGTTTGTATATTTACCAACTTCTCGACCATAAACTGGGGGTTAGGCACGGCAGTGCGTGTTTGTGGTCCGATTTCATGGTATGAGCACGTACTACGGCGCGCACGCCGACCTTAATCCCACCCAGGTGACCCACCCAGGGGACCTTAGGCCACATTAACCAACCCCCATGCTTACCGCGTGCGCTTTCCGTTGTTTACCTTTGCCTTTTTTGCTTGTGTGCGACAAAATGGTGGCAATGACAACGACAGATTCCTCCGTGCGAAAATACCTTATGGTGGACAAGGAGAAGGGCGTGGGGAGGGTGTGCTTGTGTGGGGGTGGGTGGGAAACGCACGAGCTGGATAGATAGCTGGCACCACCACCGTTAGCCCTCTTTGCTGTGATCCTTGCCTTTGTTTCATTCGTGAAAGTTCGGCTCTGGGCTCCTGTCGTGTACAAACCTGTGTGTGTGTGTGTGTGTGTGTGTGTGTGTGTGTGTGTGTGTGTGTGTGTGTGTGTGTGTGTGTGTGTGTGTGTGTGTGTGTGTGTGTGTGTGTGTGTGTGTGTGTGTGTGTGTGTGTGTGTGTGTGTGTGTGTGTGTGTGTGTGTGTGTGTGTGTGTGTGTGTGTGTGTGTGTGTGTGTGTGTGTGTGTGTGTGTGTGTGTGTGTGTGTGTGTGTGTGTGTGTGTGTGTGTGTGTGTGTGTGTGTGTGTGTGTGTGTGTGTGTGTGTGTGTGTGTGTGTGTGTGTGTGTGTGTGTGTGTGTGTGTGTGTGTGTGTGTGTGTGTGTGTGTGTGTGTGTGTGTGTGTGTGTGTGTGTGTGTGTGTGTGTTTATTAGTAGCATCGACCGCGCCAACCGGCTGACCAATGAAAAGACGCCAGTCTCAGTGCGGTGTGTGTGTGTGCAGCTAGTGTGTGTACTTCTCTTCTTGTGCTCAAGATCCTGCCGTAGTTTTTTGGGCAATGACTGCTGTCTGCTTCGACCATATTTTCCAGCGTGTGTGACGTTCTGGAGTCAGTTAGGATGCTTGTCTTTTTTTTTTGGTCAGTTTTGGCGACGCTGACTGTTTGTTCGGCTGTATTTACCATTTGGCCGACGTGAGAAGCAGTCTTGATTGTACATAATGTGGAATATTGCTCGACCCAAATAAAAAAAAACGTTGGACAAAATATGGCCTTTCCACTACGGTAACGTCGTGCATGAACTTAATCGGCGGTGAAAGTCTCGTTCCACCCCCTCTCCTGTTCATCCGTACGTTACGCTGTCCGTGGACAGACCGGGACCTCGCCCTACCACACATTCATGCAAAAAATTGCGTGCGCCCTACGGACCATATGCCCACAAACAAACTTGGAAGTACTTCGTTCTTTTCAACGTATAGAAGTGTAGTGGACGGTTTTTTTCCCCCCCGGGATCAGAAATTACTATCGAGCGCGATTGTTTTGTCTGTCATTCAAACCAGAACGGGGTCGAAAAAATGATGATCGCGACAGAGAGAAACGAGGGGAACGGGCTCTTCTTATTGGTTGTCCCGCAGTTAGCGGTGCAACAGCATTGTTGTACCGACAGACAGGTGGGTTCCAGTTCAAAATATAGTGCGCGCCGATTACGCGTACTCAGCCGATACAGCATGATGCAACCTAATTCAAAGTGCTGTACATCCACGAAAAAGGCAGCTACAAGATGCGAGGCATCCTGTTGCGAACAGACTTGAGACACCTAAGTACGACGCCTGCGCGTGAATGCCATTTTTCAACTAAACCCGTCCCCTCCGCCGGCTGGGAAGACGTCAGTGCAAGGATTTGCCGTCTTGCTCTCCATCCAATAGTAGGCACTCCTGCCAATTTTCGTGCGAATTGGCAACGTGTACAGCGCGTTCTCGTGTGGTACGGGAAAGTGCCGTCGGCTCGGGGGCTTCCCGCTTTTGCCTATTTTGTTTGGGCCGAATTGAGGTCTCTCACTGCTGAGTTCTAGCGCTCTGGTGTATGGAATTTCATCGTGCTTGGGTCCATCGCTAGCCATTGGAGACATCCACAGCCGTAGAGTTCCATCTAGGAGGGGTGGCTCTGCTGGGGGCTTGTACAGCACGGTAGAGGGCGAATTGGCACTTCTGTACGTTTAACTTTTTTGGTTGCTACGCGCAGCACTGTATTTTCTTCTTTGCACGGGTGGCAGCACGACCGAGGCATGTCGCCGTCCTGCGTTCACGTATATACATACTTCTCCTTACAACACCCCCAGCAGTAACTCAAACACACCAGTATGCCTTCTTCTTAGACATCCAAGGCGTGTGGGGGACCATCGTCGATGAGCATGAGCACCAGCCCTGTCATCTGCCCAAGTTCACCGCAGACGACGCTTTGGTTGTTTACTTAGTTGCATTATTAGGGGGGGCTGTTTCCTTGCCACATCCTGTCACGATATCGGTTCTCTACACGAGTCCGCGAGCGTGGTAATGAAATACGCGCCGACACCCAGTCACGATATCGGTTCGACGAGACCCCGACCGCGTGACCGCACGCGTCGCCTTGTACCGCTGCCAACGGATCGCCGTCTGCTGGGTTGGCTGACGGCGTGCGGTAGCCCAGTCAACCCTCCGTCGCCACTCTGTCACGGTAATAACCTCTCTCTCCTATCGTCGCCGTTCCTGTCGTTGCCGCTCCCATCGACGGTCGTGCCGCTGCTCCGTTCGTGAGTGCGTGCGTCTCGGCCGGCCGCCGCCGCGGGGAAGAAGTGACTGCCGGTGGTCCTCCTCTCGCCGCCTGTGTTGCTGCCGATGCTACCGCTCCCGCCACGAGTGCCTGCGGCCCGGCCGTCTTCCCCGCCGCCGCCGCCGCGGGGAAAACCCTGCCGCCGGGGGTCACCACTCTCGTCCCTTATACTGCTACCGATGGTACCGCTCTTGTGCCTGCACCCCGGCCGTCCCGACGGCCGGCGTCGGGGAGAACACGTGACTGCCGGTGGTCCCCCCTCTTCCGCCGGTGCTGCTGCCGATGCTACCGTTCCCGCCACGAGTGCCTGCGGCCGGGCCGTCTCCCCCGCCGCCGCCGCCGCGGGGAAAACCCTGCCGCCGGGGGTCACCACTCGCGTCCCTGATACTGCTACCGATGGTACCGCTCTGGCGCGAGTGCCTGCACGACGTCGGGGGGAACACATGGCTGCCGGTGGTCCCTTCTCTCTCCGCCGGTGCTGCTGCAGATGCTGCCGCTCCCACCACGAGTGCCTGCGGCCCGGCCGTCTTCCCCGCCGCCGCCGCGGGGAAAACCCTGCCGCCAGGGGTCACCACTCTCGTCCCTTATACTGCTACCGATGGTGCCACACTCCCTACGCGAGTGCCTGCACCCCGGCCGCGTCCCCCTGTCAGCCCATTCGGGGAGAACTACTTGATGCGTCTTTTCGCGCGATTCTTTCTCGCGTTTACCTTTTTTTGTAGTATCCTGAAATCGTAGTTTTTCTTCGGATTTTGTTCTTTTGCCTTGTCATCGTCGGCACCATAGTTGTTTCAGGGTCTTCATCGCGGTCTGAACGCCTTCATTCTTCAGTCACTATGGTACAAATTGCAGTGACATTTTAAACGTGCTTTTCAAGCAAACCCTCACGGCAGCAGCGAGGTGGTCAACTCACGATGAGGTCAACGATGAGTGAGCGGCATCGCCATCCTTTCCCACCCTAACTTAATCGATCGGCTGTTGTTGCACATCCATACATTCCCGTTGGATGCTCTTTTTGATCGATGCTGCTCTGATCGCACGGGACGAATGGACGAAAATGGGGCTCCCAGCAAGCAAGAGGACGTGAGATCACAAATACATGACGATAAACGACGCAATGCGGGAAAACAATCGATATTTTGGACCTTGCAGTAGCTGAGGCTCTCATCATCTCCATTTTTTCTCTGCCGGTGTTCATGGTATGCGGAAGGTGTGCGGATGTGCTCGTACTTCCAAAGAACAGGCATATTTGCATGGCGCGTGCGCCAACCTAGTGTGCTTCGTGCCCACGGGAAGTAGGTCTCTCTCCGCAGGTAGTTTGTTTCTTTTTCGTTGTTGCGGTGATACCAACCGAGATTATGATGCCGTCAACAAGCAAGATGTGCACGAACGCGTGTATGCATCCATATTGAGATCTTCCAACTCGAAGAAATCTACAAAGATCGCGACATGCGAGGACTGTACCAACACCTCAAGACATCAGTGGGCCTCAGCGGGAGACAGGCGAGGGGACAGCAGTTCGTCGCGGATGAGAACGGCGTGTTGCTCCGGAACAGGGACGACATCCTCCAGCGGTGGGCGAGATTCTTCAGCACCCTACTCAACACCAATTTCCCCACCCTGAACCCACACATAATCGAACAAGTGACGCAGCGGCCAGCGACACGTGACACTCAACGGTTGGGAGATGTGCNCATCAGTGGGCCTCAGCGGGAGACAGGCGAGGGGACAGCAGTTCGTCGCGGATGAGAACGGCGTGTTGCTCCGGAACAGGGACGACATCCTCCAGCGGTGGGCGAGATTCTTCAGCACCCTACTCAACACCAATTTCCCCACCCTGAACCCACACATAATCGAACAAGTGACGCAGCGGCCAGCGACACGTGACACTCAACGGTTGGGAGATGTGCCAGAACTCGAGGAGGTGGCACGGGCAACGAAAGGCCTCAAGAACTGGAAGGCACCCGGCCATGACTCCCTCCCTGCCGAGTTGCTCAAGATCGATGACGACGAAACCTTCGTCCTGGGACACCTCCATATCATCCTCGTCAAGGTGTGGAACGGAGGAGATATTCCGCGAGAGTGGAAGGATGCAACCATCAAGGTACTGGAAAAGAAGGGTGACCGGCCCACCTGTAACAACTACAGGGGGATTTCGCTACTATCTCACGTAGGCAAGGTCCCCATCAAGATCATCACCAACCGTCTAAGCGCCTTCTGCGAAGCCAACAACATCTTCCCGGAGGAACAGTGCGGATTTCGACCCGGGCGATCCACCGTCGACATGCTGTTAGTCGTGCGCCGCCTCCAGGAGCTGGGGCGGAGAAAGTAAATACCGCTCTACATGTGCTTCGTCGACTTGAGCAAGGCGTATGATTCGGTGGACCGAGAGATGCTATGGAAGGTGCTGGCCAGGGCCGGGATTCCCGCGAAGCTGATCGAAGTCATCCGTCAATTCCACGATGGAATGCGGGCCCGCGTGCGCATGGACGACGGAGAACTATCGGACTGGTTCTTCGTGACACAGGGCGTGCGACAAGGATGGTGCTATCCCCACTGCTGTTAAACATCTCCTTCGCCGAGGTCCTCGAGGTCGTTGTCATCCGATTCAGCGAGGGTGATGTTGTTCTGCGGAGCCTGGTGTGCTTGGAGGAGCGAAAGACGGAAGCGGCGGGGGGGGAGGAGGTACCCCTTGACCGAGTACGGAGGGCAGTATGGGGGATGCTGTATGCCGATGATGCCGGCGTCGTATCGAGGTCTGCAGAAAGACTGGCGAGAATGATGACCATCATCGGTGTTCGGGGAGTTCGGGCTAACGGTGTCGGAGAAGAAGACGGAGACGCTCCTGACGCTCGCGAAGGACAAGCCGACTACAACATCACAGCCCGCCCCGCCTCCACCATTGACCATCGGAGCCGCGGGACAGAAATACGCCCAGACGACCGAGTTCCGGTACCTCGGTGGCCTCGTCAACGAACATGGCGACCTCACCCGGGAGATCAACTACAGGAGCAGAGGAGCGTGGGCGTGCCTCAGGCGATATGGCCGGGAGCTCTTCGACAGACCGCAAGCGCCATTCCGACTCAAGATCCGCCTGCTCCAGGCGGAGGTTATGGAGGCTCTGCTGTACGGCTGCATGACATAGTCACCACTCAGCGGCCACTATCAGGCGCTGCGGTCGATACACCACCGACTGCTGCTTCGAGCTATCGGGTACAAGCGCAAGAAAGACACCTACCGGCAGCTCTCT